TTGCTTGAAATAAATCACTTAGATTTAGACCTTTAGACCTTGTGCCAAATCCGACTTCTATGGGCTCCTGATCGGATCCCATAAGGCTCCTCAAATGAACCTAAAAGGTGCCTCATCAGACCCTAAAAAGTGCCTCATTGGCCCGGCCCTAGGAGGTACCTCATCCGACCCTAGATGACACCTCATTGGACCTAAGAAGGTGCTCCGTCCGACACGAGAAGGAGCATATTCTTGCCTGACAACGTGACTCCTCTCACTCGTGAATGTGTGGTAACCTACACGTTGCTTTTAATCAGACTCAGGGTTATATTTTCCTGACATCCGCGTTAATAATTTTTTCCGTACAGACTGGAAAAAATACATTTTACGTACATCACTGGGACAAAGCATGTCTTAAACCTCATCTCTCGCCATATGAGGTTGGTTTTGTCAACTTGAACTCCTAACAAATAGAATTTCAGATAGGCGCTAAGAAAAAAATTAAGGCCATATGTTGTGCAACAATATTGGAACACTGACTGATTTTCTCTGCATTAGTATTCATGATACCGCCATGCACCAGCGTCCGAAACTTGTGTGCGGATTATTGTGTTATCTCCCGAGAAACCGTGGCAGGCGTGGCCAGCGAGCGAACACTCCTGATGTGTTCCGACTTATGTTCCAGGGCCTATACTTTCAAAAGAAGTTAAGAGATCGTAAGTTCATCAGCCAATCATTGACGGCCTTTCAAGCAAAATCTACCAATCATAGACAAGAAAACAGAGCGTAAGTGCTTACCTTCACTTAGCGAGTTTTGAAAGTATGTTCCAGATTTCCTTTCCGGCCGAATGCGATGACCTAAACTTGAAATCTTTGGGATTGCGAGTTTAGACAATTCGTAAAGAATTTTTGATGTATATATAAGTTTCTTCTTAAATTGAAATATTCGAACTCTGTGATCAATGCACACTTTAGTCGAACGGCCCGTCGTGCGAGCACCACAATGAGTTACGGAATGTGTGTCTTGAATCGATTGGTGTAATTTCATATTCCTGGGCCAGCCAACTGTACTCTGCTAACATACTTCACTTTTACACACTTTATACCCAGAAAACATTGTGATAAGGAAGAACATCTATCGTGAAGAACACGATGATGGAGAACAATGTCTATAAATTTGTTCGAATTTATTCTATATTCAGTACATAGGCTATAGGATTAATTTTTTCAGTTAATTCATTATATCTCAAATTGCCTCGACAGAAATTGAATGGAGGATAATAATCATCTGTGGGCATCCGATTATCAATTTGATATCGTTTCAAGCTCAACTCCAATTCAGGACCGTGAATTCGTCTCTTCCATGTAATGAAAGGGCTTCAACAGACCCGATGGAAAAAAATAAACACTTTATATATAATCAATAACAATAAGAAGAACGTTATCACGTTAATATAAATGCAAATTTGTGCATGGTAATACAAAATTTCCATTGAGCCCGCTATTGTGATTTCACAATTTATGTAAAATATTGATATGATCCTGATTCGCCATTTCTACCTACCTCATGTTCGATCTCAATCACAGTCGAGAGTCCCGTCATCATTGTCCAGCGAACCCTCATGGATATATGTATCAATAATCACTATTATTTAATATCTCATGGCTACCCTCGGGTATTTTAGTATGCTTACTATATTTTCAGTTGGCTTTAATGCATAGTTCCCCTCAATCCCCTCTGTGACGCCCATCATTCACATCGACCCAATCACACGACGACTGAAGCCATAAAAACGGAATAGCTGGCGAGCGTACATTCATATTTCATTAGACGAGTACAGCGGATCCATACTCAGATTAAATGCACTTTTTTAGCATCATTCCGATTCGAGGGCATTGTCCCTCGGCATGAAGCTTTGTGGGTTATGCACGCTTACGGTTTCAATAAGTTAAAAATTACTGGAAAATTCGTATTTGGTTTTGCTGTGCTGATTATAACTGATAATCGATGGTTATTTTTTTTCAATAGATGCTAATTAATGTGCGTATAATAGTGGACGGAAATTTAGTGACAATTTAAAACAAGCGTCATTTGTTAATAAAAACAAGGTTTCCATCATATTTATATGAATAAATGTTGATTTCCCAGTAAAGATAACTTTATACTATTTGAAGTGATCGTTATTTTATGAGGGGTGATGTGGGCACCTCGAACTCTTCACTCAATCGTGCTACACTAAAGTCAGAATTAAGACTGTCTTTTGCTCAGTTCCAGTAACTTATTTTTGTTGGCGAGACGAATTTATAACTTTTTCATGGTTACTTAAAAATTTCACTTTAATGCTGCTCTAAAATACCTCGTTCACTTACATGATACCATCGCATTTTTCCTCGATTTTAAATCGGGTTTCGACTCTCAAAATTAAAACAATTTTTATCTAGCAGCAGCATAAATTTACCCCAGCAGCAACAGCATTTCTTTTCAGCTCTTTTCTTGCAGTGTTTTACTCCCACAAAGTATTTCAGATTCTGAAATACATTAAAATGAATCTGCCGAAAGCTTTCCAAACTATCGCACCTTTGTTATTCATCGAACTTTCTTTCAAGAGTTCGGCTGTCCCATCACAAATTAATGGGCCATTGAAATGATGGAGAACGTTCATAAATTCCATCATAGGACCCTGGCTTATCTCCACCGTGTCGTTCTGAGCTAATAGCCCTGCATGAATAAGAGATGAAACTTTGTAAAATCGTCTAATCGAGGCATGGAAGATCGAGCGCTTTATTGAGTCTACCCAATTGAATTTAATTGCAGAAGTAAAAGCCTAAAGCGCTAGATAGACGTCGGCTGCAACGGCTCCCTGTGGCGTGGGCGAGACGTTGAAATCTTTTAGCTTTATTATTGAAGCTGAATGTTAACATTTGTAGGGCAAAATCACTTGTCAAATATCGTTGAAAAAAATTTTGGGTGAACCTTGCTTGACTCGGGAGCCGAGGTTTACAAATAATGGCAGACGACTGAAAGACGTCTTGATTCAGACGACTGAATCAAGACGACTAAATAGGCACGTTAGAATTTCATCAGGACAATAAGTTAAGGAGGATAGGTAGTGGGATAGTTAGTAATAGCAGCTGCTAGTCTAGTTTAAATTGTATCAAATTATAATTAGTGTTGCAACGCTCACTATGATGACTCAACGGCGTTATTTTGTTAAGAAGCCATAAAGGAAAATGCATCATTCAGCTGCCTTTCATTCTCCTAGTAGCGCAAGTTTATGAAATCTTACCTGGAAAGAGAGCAGCTTGAAATGGTTTAAACATGGCCGGTTCTTTCAGGAATGCAAATCTGTTGACTAAATTCACTGATTATCAGATATTATGAAGAGAAATCACAGCTTAAAAAACAGAGATATGTTCACAACTATAAAACAATATAGATCATATTGCACACATTGTGGAAGTGCAACACATTTTAAAACTACAGCAGTGTTCCCGGCATCTCTTGCATTCAATTTGCATGAATTGATTCCTATTCCTTGCAGTTGGACGAACGTGTGTAATGTTTAATGCATCGCTGACCACGCTAACGGAATTCTTGGATTATTCAGGATTATGCGCATGTAAGGAAATAAATTATTTTAAGTCGACATTATTTGATTGGGATGAAATGGAGTTATGTTATTTCTTCATATAAATTTTTAGTGAAAAGAAATTACTTCATTACTGATCAGGCGTTCAAGAAATAAATCGATTCAAAATTATTTCCAATTCCTGAACTTGATTATTCGAAGCGGCTTTACAAGACTCTGAAATTCGGTAGTATCACTGCTGAAGTTATATTATTAAATAACATTAATGTTTAATTTTCAGATTATTATAATTGAATAGCCACAAGTAATTGCAGTTTTTGTGAACTCAATATTTTATTTTTAATTTCAGGGTCAAATAAGCGAATGGAGTTTGCTTTCTCTACAATAATTGCTTCCAAGAAGTGTACAGTAGCTTATAACTGCCTATAAAACGACAATTGAATTTAGAATTTAGTTTAATAATTTAATACTCCGCCTCATTTCTGTGTTACTCTATTGAATCATTCACTTCTTTCCATTCGTCGGTTGTATGTATGCATATGAACATAAAGTTTCTCAACTGCAAATTATCTAACGATAATCGTTTGCTTTTTTTTTCAATCATCGCTAACAATATAACCCAACACACGATTATAATATAACCCGACACAGTAAAGATATTCGTCAAAATACGTAAGAAAATAAGGGATTAAATGACCCCTTGGAATGACATCATTGATTGTAGCGGTTACTCGTAGAAGAGGTCAGCACGAGCTTAAATTGTAAAATTACTTGCATAAATATGCAAGCATTTCTTAATAATAACAAAATTGGTTCTGTCCTTATTTTAAGTTTTAAAATTTTCTGATGCACTCAACTTAAAATCAAGTCTAATTTCGCTCTGTTCCTGCACTACTTGAGCTTATCCAATAAACAATTTTTGAAGTTTGATTAATTCAGATTCAAGTTGCAAAACTAATTCAATGAATATTGCATAATTCATTCAATTGAGCAAACAATTCAATAATTCATAATTTAAGTCAAGTTCAAATGAAGTCATAACTTCAATAAAAATGTGTTGAAATTCTTTAGAAGATTCTCATGGTTCTTTTTGGTGCTCATAAAAGCCTGAATCATTTTTCTGGTTCTCATGGTTCTTTTTTGTGTTCATAAAAGATTGAATCATTTTTCTGGCAAAGTTTGAAAAAAATTACTCTTTCCATTGATAGGGTGAGTTTTTTCCTGGAAGCTCTGGAAAGTTCGTTAATAGCTCGACTATAACAGATTTCAATTTGAGGAACTGGTTCATTATTGCAATTGAATGAAACTTTTCCAACTGATGTGTGCCTATTTCTTGCTGACTAAGTTAAAAATTTTATAAGTAAATTTCATGTAATTTTCTCAAATGTTTTTATTTATGATATCAGTAGTGACGATGAGGATTAAGCAAAGTACAATACAAAAATAAGATTTATTTGAAACACTCACAGCGAGAGTACACAATGTACAAAGTACACAAATACAAGAATTATTACATCATGATCGTCATTCGTAGTTTTAATAAACAATGCGTTAGAAATTATGCTTCATTAGTTCGTATTTTTTACGCCTATGCTGAGAAATTTTTTGGACGTTCCGAGAGTTTTGATTTAAAAAGTATGGAATTGATTATTAATGAATAGTAAATAATGCATTTAATTAAATAGTAAATTTAACTTTCATTAACATATATGCATGCTATGCTAAAAAATGCATCCATAATCATGTGAATGCACGTGACCAGTCATAAATCAGGATACAACAGCAGTAATAATGTATCAAGTCTTTTTTTAACGAAAGCCAACTTTCTAACTAAGCTTTAAATGAATAACAAGCGCTCAGATTTATAACTGATCCGCGCGCTGCTTCTAATTCAGCAAAAACGCTGCGGACGCCGTTAAAATAATAGGATAATCACATGTTTAAAAAATCCAGTTGTTTTTTTTACGTGAAATTCTATGGTAGAATTCCAGTTATCTGAAAATGTCTGACTGTAGCGCCTTGTTCGTATATGTCTCGCGTTGGAGGCAATAATGAAGATAGGATCAAAAGAAGACTTGTATTCAAAAGTGAGTCGAGGGTGATAACTAGCAGACGATTCCGAACTATGGAGAGTGCGGAATGCGCGAATGGATTTTACACTTCGCCTCCGACACACCGATGATTCACCGATGATTCACCGATGACACAGTTAGGCCCCTATAGGCGTAACACTGACGGGTTTCAAAACCTTGGCAATATGACCTGTATTTTAGACTGTGAGTCAAAGGGTGGCTACAATTCCTTGCGAATAAGTCACATGACATTCAAGGTGCTCATATTTGTCAATATAATCTTCACAGTGAACACGGGAGAGCAAATGATTCAAGTAGTGAATCCATGAATATTGAATGAAGTACGAGTTAGTTTATATATTTACAGTCGAGCTGTGAGAAACGAATGAGCTATTTAATGTTCTTCGCAAATTGCCGAAAGGTAATTTTCACGACATAGACCTACCCAATCCTTCATTTTTGTAAGTAAGGAGCCGTTAAATAACGTCATCCGGTTTAGAATGAAGTTGTGATGGAATTATTATATATTGTCTTGCTTGTAAAATTTGTTTTGCACTATGTAAAATCTGAAGGACTGCCTGCAACTGGCTTAAAGTAAAGTCAAATTTAAACATATACTTGCAATAGCGATGCACTTGCGCTGTTTTTAGAATTTCATTCATTGCTCATATCGCCTATATGCTTTAGGCAGCTCAAATTCAATTACGTCAAGTCAAATTCAATTACGAATAATTTCGGAACTTTTAATAAACTGTTAAACACATATATTATCGTTATTAGAGAAAACATCGTTCCATTTAACTCCACTTTCAATTGACATTTCTTAAAAACACACGCAAAAAATGTATCTATGTACTTCGATTCGAGTTATAATTTCACTTTATGCTTAGTAAATATAGCTTCAACTTTTTCTCGCGGGAACTAACAGGCAGTAGAAGTACTGAAATATTACGATTTAATTGCATTAAAACCCATAAGCCGACATTATAGTTCACGTAAAGTGAGCTTCTAAATGCTCTAAAGTTCAATGTTAGTGGCATTTCATTTAGTTATGCATCTGGTTTTGATTTTAATGGGGTTATCTCATTAAAAATAATTCCCTGTATGTGATACAGGTTTTCCCAATACTTCACACGTAAAATCCTTCGTCGTAAGCGACTGGTTCGCTCCGTCATCCCAAACAACTGACGCGTGCTCATGTCTTTAATGATAGCACAAATAATCTCAGAAATATAGAAAAAATACACGGCTATAGAGGGCAAAGTTTCCATCGATAGGTAACACTTACGAAACATTTAGATCTTTGTAGTGAATTATATCTATTGCATATATGCAGCAGCACCGCGCTTATAGATGTCCTCGGCGCCAGTGGTAAAGACCGAGAAATAACCTGTTGGATAGAAACACGTGTTTTAGATTTCATTATGGAATTTATCAGGTTTTCGACTCATTGCATGAACTTGCATAATCATTTTTAATAATTAATTTGATGATTTATTCGAAATAAATGGTTATTGCTTCAATGTAATTTGTACTCGCACAAGCTCGATCACATGTTTTATTTTTGTTTGGTTCAATTACTGGGAGTTATAGAAATGAAAAAATCTTGCATTTATTCAAGAATTTACTGAGAATTGTGCTTTTAATATAAAAAAATGGCCCGACTTTAGTAATGAAAACAAATAATGTTTGGAAAAAATAAACGAAATCATTTTAATAAGAACTCAAAGTGAATAACATATCATATAGTTCCGAGGATCGCTTTCTTCATCTAATTTCTCGATAGTTTTTACTTCTTTTCTTCGGAAACTTTGATGGATAACAAGCGCTCAGATTTATAACTGCTCTGCGCGCTGCTTCTAATTGAGCAAAAACGCTCAATTAAAAACGCTCAAAAACGGACGCCACCAAAAAAATTTGTATTATGACTTGTTTTCAAAAGTCCAGTTGTTTTTTACGTTCAATTCTATGGTGGAATTAAAGTTACCTGAAATTGTGATTTGTTTGGTCATTATCAGCCAATTTTTGATATTTTTGAGCGTATTAAATAATTTTTTTTCTCGGACGGATAAATACGATTTAAAAGCCTGTATCAACATCGTTAGTATTGTAATAGTAAGACAAACTTAAACCAGTCGAGGAGCAACAACATATGAAGTCTTGTAACGCATATTGGCAGCGACTTCGTAATATGGAAGGCCTATTTCGAAACATGATAGCAACAAATTTCTTGATAATAATAAAGATAGAATTCAATTAAGTTATAAATAAAATAAAATATGCAAACCACATGATTAGCCATTATCGTGAATTTCGTCTGCCCAAAAGCTTTATGTTTGAACAAAAGCTCTGTGTCTGAACTAAAGCTCTGTGTCTGAACTAAAGCTCTGTGTCTGAACAAAAGCTCTGTGTCTGAACTAAAGCTCTATGTTTGAACATACATAGATCTCTAGATCTATGATCATAGATATCTATGTTTGAACTGATCTTACTTTTTTACTCAAATTCCATGCTTGAACCACATATACGTCCAAATTTTGACAAAAGTCTAAAATTTTTAATACTTACTAAGTATGAATGCCTAAATATTTCTTAAAATGAATTCAAGACAAAATTTGCAATCACCATTATTTTTAGGCGCTATTTTACTGACTTCTGCTGACTGATATAACAATTTAACTTCTTCAGACAACCACTTTGTAAAATTGACCTCTAGTCATGAAGCGTGAATGTTCAAGTTGATGAATTAGCATAATTTAATATCAACAGGTATTAAATGTATATTCAACTCACCCTGATAAGCTCTTAAGATACCAGCCTGCTCTTCTCCGGGACCCACGGTTTGCTGTGAGGAAAAATACTTGCTTTAATATTGTAAAAATAAAAATGATTATTTGTCTATCACGGTTTGCTGTGAGGAAAAATACTTTATTTAACATAATATTCTAATAATAATAAAAAATTATTAATTGTCTAAGAATACAGGAAATTCCATTTATTTTCTAATAAATAAACCCGAGCTAGCCTTCATACAGTCATGAATACACATAATGAAGGTTAAGCTGAGCCACGCAATGACTATATTAACCTAACTTGCACTTAGCTTGTCAGGAGAAATGATGCAAATGAATGATGTTAGGCTAGCTAAATGTTGATGATGTTGATGCAAATGAATGATGTCAGGCTAGCTAAAAGTTGATGATGTTGATGCAAAAGAATGATGTCAGGCTAGCTAAATGTTGATGATGTTGATGCAAAAGAATAATATCAGGCTAGTTAAATTTTTATGAGTTTGATGAGAGGAATGATGTGAGACTAATTAAATCTCTATAATGACATACAGTGCATCCAATGTATGGATACACGAAAGTCATTGCAAAACTTGGTTAACCAACGATACATTGATTTCCAACAGTTTAGTTATCCCTAGAGCACGCTGCCCACTGCAGAGCTAGTCACGACACAAGAGACCACATGTAACATGAAATACGTGTGTCATGTCTAGACGTGATATAGACATGAAACATGAAATGAGTGTCATGTGTCGCACGTTTGCGTGTCACGTATAGACGAGATAAGAGGCCACATGAAGCATGAGACACGTGTGTCATGTATGACACGTTTGTATGTCACGTATACACGAGATAAGAGGCCACATGAAGCATGAGACACGTGTGTCTTGTGTGACACGTTTGTATGTCACGTATACACGAGATAAGAGGCCACCAGAAGCATGAGACACGTGTGTCATGTATGGCAGGTTTGTATGTCACGTATACACGAGATAAGAGACCACCAGAAGCATGCGACACGTGTGTCATGTGTGACACGTTTGTATGTCACGTATACACGAGATAAGAGACCACCAGAAGCATGAGACACGTTTGTCTTGTGGGACACGTTTATGTGTCACGTTTACACGAGATAAAAGACCTTATGAAACATGAGATGCGTGTGTCTTATGGGACACGTTTATGCGTCACTTATACACGAGATAAAAGACAATATGAAACATGATATACATGTGTCATGAATGGCACGTCTGCGTGTCACGTATACACGAGATAAGAGGCCAGAGACAGGCGCACGTATCCCAGCAATGCATGCAGCCTACGGCGGATAGGCCAGCGAGACGCGACGCTTCCTTTGTGCTCAGCAAACACAGCCCGCCGCCCCAATATGCCTAAGAGGATCACTGAATGCCCCCTACATGTGCCCCCTTCACTTCAAGACTTTCGAGTAATGTTTTACGCTGATTTAAGATTGTAGAGATTACAGCAGCATCAAAAATTACGATAATCCAAAACTTTCAAGTAATAGTATACACTGATTTAAGATTGTTGAGATTGCAGCAGCACCAAAAATGACGATGAACCGAAAAAGTTTAAGATTTTCAAGCAATATTTTACGCTGATTCAAGATTACAAAGATTGCAGCAGCATCAAAAATGACGATGATCCGAAAAAGTTGTAAAATTTCAAGTAATGCAGGAATGTTTTACGCTGATTTAAGATTGTTGAGATTGCAGCAGCACCAAAAATGACGATGAACCGAAAAAGTTTAAGATTTTCAAGCAATATTTTACGCTGATTTAAGATTACAAAGATTACAGCAGCATCAAAAATGACGATGATCCGAAACTTTCAAGTAATATTATACACTGATTTAAGATTGTTGAGATTACAGCAGCATCAAAAATGATGATGAACCGAAAAAGTTTAAGATTTTCAAGCAACATTTTACGCTGATTTAAGATTGTAGAGATTGCAGCAACACCAAAAATTGTGATGATACGAAAAAGTTGTAGACTTTCAAGTAATGCAGTAATGTTTTACGCTGATTTAAGATTGTAGAGATTGCAGCAGCACCAAAAATTGTGATGATCCGAAAAAGTTGTAGACTTTCAAGTAATGCAGTAATGTTTTACGCTGATTTAAAATTGTAGAGATTGCAGCAGCACCAAAAATTGTGATGATCCGAAATAGTTTAAGACTTTCAAGTAATGTTTTACGCTGATTTAAGATTATAAAGATTGCTGTAGCACTGAAAATTACGATGATCAGAGAAAGTTGTAGGCTTTCAAGTAATATTTTTCGCTGATTTAAGATAACAAAGATTGCGGCAGCACCAAAAATTGCGATGACCCGAAAAAGTTGAAGATTTTCAGGTAATATTTTACGCTGATTTAAGATTGTAGAGATTGCAGCATCACCAAAAGTTATGATGATGCGAAAAAGTTGTAGACTTTCATGTAATACTATACACTGATTTAAGATTGTTGAGATTGCTGCAGCACCAAAAATGACGATGATCCGAAAAAGTTTCTTTGTAAAATCCTTGAGTTGATTGAGAGGTGAAACCTAAGATGTGTTCTATAAGATTTCGCTGAAAAGGAAAATAGCATGAGAAATGGGTGATATATTATTGAAAGTCATGAACATGACTGTGCTTTTTACGAAGTATTACTTCTGAATTGTTTCTATATGTAGTGTATCGTTTTGAAAGTGCTCAAAATTTTGATTATTGAAGTCGTTTAATTTAGTTAGTTGTTTTTTGGCATATACTTGCATGGACACAGAAACTCCTAAAATTATTCCAGTAATCGCAATTTAAATAAATGTAACTGATTTTTGTAAGAAAAATCGAAATCTAAAAGCAACATCACTTCCGATTTTTAATTTCCTCGTGGATTTCACCAAAAAACTATAAATCTTATGATTTTCTCACGTACACACAAATTCCTATGATGCACAATAAAGATGAAAGTATAGAGATGACTTACATGACCGAGTTGTATCACAATTCCCACCTGCACCGAAGAGGCCGGAGAAATCTGTTGAAATACAAAATTATTCTCTTTACGAGCTTGCCTGAATGAAAAACAATCTTGATAATGGGTAAAAATTAACGGTATAAAATAGCTGTTAACCTCTTTCGCTCATTGGCGTCTGATAATTATCTGAGGTCTAAAGACCTTTGGTAAAATTTCAAAAATTTTATGCTGATTACGAGCTGTCGACCATCGCAGTCCAATGCATCGCTCGTGATTACAATGCTAGAGGCATATTTGTGTAAAATTACAGCTTATTGCGATATAATTCAATTTCAGTTTATTACGACATAATTCAATTACAGTTTATTACGACATAATTCAATTAAAACTTATTACGACATAATTCAATTGCTGCTTTTTACGACATAAACAGACTGGTTATTAATAATTCCAGTTTGCTTTAAATCCAAGTCTGACATAAGTTTTTGTTACTCATTATTGAAAAACATTGAGGTCAGTAAACATGCAAATAAATCTACAAATTCTGCAAATAAATCTACAAATCTACGCTCTACAAATTGTAAAAACAAAACCTCCGTGCCTCTTTCGATCGAGCATTGATCTATAAAATATACTTCCTTAATGATTTTCGTGCTGGAATCCAATAACGTGCTACTACCCTGCATTTATTTCACATCATCAACCCTATGATCCCATTAGATGGATGTATTAAGAGGAGCTTTTTATTTAACGTTAAAGATTATCTCGAGAATATCAAAGCGAGTACCACAACTAATAATATAATATTATTCCGATGTTTTTGATAGATACGAAGATTGTGGCTGGGGGAACAGAAATGCGTTCACGTTTATTTGTGGACATCATATCCTGCTCGTCGATTTACTGATGCATCGCTGAGCTCGAGTTCGTATTTTTATATGCATTAATGCGAAACAAAATATGCTTCATATAATCAATCTGGTTTGCGCGCGCTGGATATTGGAAACCATGTTATTATATTTCCAACTTAGTTAAAGATGCTAATAATTATTGGAAATTCAACTATATTCAATCATTAGAAATTTAACATGATGATACTTTCTTATGTTCACGGGTACGGTATTTGCGTCGAGAAATGAATTATTAATGAATATTCACGATAGCATAGCATGAAATGAAATGAATAGCATAGCACCTTGTGTATAATTATACGTTTCATTTCTGATGCGTCGTGGTACAGACTTAATTCATGTTTATTTTTCTCCATAGCAGTATGAATAAATCTTTTTGTAGAGACAAGCGTTAGAGATAATGTCAGAAGACTATAGTATTCAGTATTTTATTCCGGACGAATAAATGATTAATGAAATTACCTTGCAATCAATACGTTAGAGACAAGACCCTGAACACATATTTGACTATCATTAATCCTTTATTTTGGACACAACGCGAAGAACATTTACTATGCATGCTACCGGGCTGAATAATAGAGAATGTTATGAGCCGCTCACGATGTTACAGATTTATCAATGTATTGATAATATCTAAGATTGTACTGGGTTCAGTGCTGGATGAGTAATTTATTCAGATATGAACGAAATTTATTCTTTAAAAACACAGTCTCAATTATTGCAGTCAAGGACCAGTGATGGCTCGTCACAATTTCTTCACATTACTTTCACTATCTTTTCTAATTTGGTCTCTAGGTGATCCTGAAGGCCTGTTCTAATAACATGAGATCTTATAGCAAAACATATTATTTGACTGTTATGGGAGCTGGGCTTATACAAGTTTCTGGAATAGAATGAATTTCTCATAAGAACGTCATTTCCAATATACTTAGTTGAGCATTACTACCGTCTTATGTGTCTTTTAATTACACGATCAATCTTCCCGACAGACTCCCGATGTTTTGCATGCCATTGTTTGGAATAACACTACCCCTTTCCCTCACCCAGCAGACAGGCCATGATGTTGTACACGCCAGTGTTTGCAATAATGCTACCCTTTCCTCACCTAGCAGACAGGCCACGATGTTGTACACGCCAGTGTTTGCAATAATGCTACCCTTTCCTCACCTAGCAGACAGGCCACGATGTTGTACACATCATTGTTTACAATAATGCTACCCTTTCCTCACCTAGCAGACTGGCGCCGGTGCTAGGTGCGTTGTTGGCCAGGTTGGAGGAGTGTCGTGGTCTGGGTGTGGTGGTGGTGGTTGTCGTGGTGGTGGTAGTGATGATAGGCAGATCTGTTGGAGCAAAATGCGTGTTATACCGTGCGATTAAAATATTTCATTGCATCATTGTTTTGCATCATGTTCACGTAATTAAATAAAGTTCGTAACTTCTGAAATTCCCTGGTTTTTTACCTCACGAACACCTCACTAATCTAGCAATCTCATCTATTGGCATCAAGATTGGCTTCACGAACCATAATTAAAAACATTTCATATTATTTTACTAATTATTTTGCAATAAGTTAGCTCAAATTGTTATTGATCATAAAACTCCAAAGAACTGACGTGGTGACAGCGTCCAAACAGTAAAAAAATTGTGTAAAAAAACTTTCGCGCCATATTATCATTAAATTAATTAAATCCCATTTAAAGAAATTAAATCCCATTTGAACGTGGGATGGGGTAACTGATTTAACTGTGCGGATATTATTGCCGTTAAGAGTAAATCAAATTACAATATTAGTCATCCGATTACAGCATATATTTTCCCAATAATGCATATAAGCACACGGTTGCCTTCTAAATTTGTATTAGAATTTCGATAAATTGCACAGACTAATATAGCTACGATTCCCCCGTCAAACATAAATGAAATAATTCTCGCTGTCTCTGGCCGTAAAGCGGAGCTTGCGTAACTGAAAGCCGCATTTTCTTTACTTTACGCCTCTATTCTCTTGTGGTATTGCTGCCAGCGGTTCTTTGAATTACCTCTGGTTAATTATCGTCTCTATTTCCATTGAGCCTGACTGAGCTTAGTTCTGAACGGTTCGCTCATCAAAGCCATTCACAGGAGATACAAAGAAGGCGGATAATTGGCCAATCGAGCGCCAATGCAGAGCACCAATGATGGCCTCTAATTTGTTGAGAGCCTTGCCAATATTTTATCTCAATTGAGGCATTGAGGCTATGATAGCTGTGATGGACGTTTATTTGATTAAATGGCTTCAAAGGTATTGTTCTCATCATCTCGAAATCTTTAGGGAATTTTTTTTAGCAGTATTCTGATGAATTCGTCTTACGAAGGATATGGCATGATAGAAGAAATGTATTGACTTACATCAAGGACAATTTCAATCATCAAGATAAGTTACATCAAAAACTGTTTCACACATCAAGCGGCAAAAAAAAGAAGAAACGAAGTATTTTTGGTCTGATATACAGTGAGTGCATGACAGGTATTCGCCTTCCATATGCTTTTCTCCTATTACTTACAATTTACTACATTATATGCATCATCATTAGATTCGATAATGGTAAAATTCTTTGTATACTTTTTTGTAATTAAGGAACACATCATTCTTAAGCTGCTCCCTCGAATCACAAATAAACTTTAATCAAAATGTATATCAATCATATTTATAATTTCTTTGTATTCTTATGGTTTAATTTTGAGGAACAAAAACCGCGAATCCATGCGGTTTTTGTCTCTTTATTTCGATATAATCTTAATTTAATTAATAACAGCAATATTGTGAATAATTTATGGCGCACAAGAGTAAATATTTGCTTACGAGTATACAAGTAAATACGAGTAACATACAGGTATATAGCTAAGTATGGTCATGTATTTTATACGACGCACTCACTGGGATCGTAGATTGTCTCGTGGATATCCCTATACTTGGTGAGCTGCACGGTAACGATGCAGCCCACCACGGTGTCGGGTGGGGTGCGGGCCCAGTCTATGAGACCCCACTCACCCACGTCCCACAACCCACCGCCTCGGGACGCTTCCATTCGGCCCACCGAGCCCACGTCCATCCTGGGACAAAAAAATATAACTCAGTACTCACTGCAGTGAGTGACAGAGAGTTCATTTTCTCGTCGACGAAAACATGAAATCACGGACGGACGGACGGATGGACGGACAGACGGACAGGCAGACGGTCAGACAGACGGACAGGCAGACGGACATGACGAGCACATTAGTGCATTTTTTCTATAAATGAGAAATTGCGCTAAAAAGACAACCTTTCAAATTAGCTAGGTATCGACTCTTACGAGGGAACAGTTTGAAGGTGGAGTATTAAAATCACTTGATTACTTAAATTGCAAGTTTGTCAAGAATTTGAAAGCAAAGAAAACAGCCGAAAAATTCACCATTTCTGAAGAATGAAAACGTTCTTCATTCTTAAGAAATGGTGATTTTTTGGGATGTTTTCTTTGCTTCTAAATTTTAGAAGAAGGAGAAAATACACCAGTGAAAGTACGACCAAGAATATAAAAATATGAAAAAGAATGCAGATTGTTTGAAAGCAAGAAGCACAATAAAGAACAGTCCGAGGAATGGCAACGTCAACGATATTTCACTTTACATATTTTTGCCTGTTATAATTATCCCTGATTGAGCGAGTTAGAAGTTAATAGGAATAGTGGCTCTTTATCGACATTGGCTTCCCATGATTGTGGAGCCTTGTTAAGGTTCTAAGCAATCAGAAGCCTTGTGGTCATGAAGCCATGGTCATGAACCATGGTCATGAAGCCTTGGGTTCATGGTCATAAACTTTTTTCATGAACTTTGTGGTTATGAACTTTCTGGTCATGAAGCCTTTGTGGTCATGAAGCCATGAGTCGTGAAATTATTTTTAGATAATTGCATGTTCTGTCCGTTATCGTGAGAAGAACATTTACACAAGTAAGTTTCAGCAAATTGATTCGCGGTTGGAAAAACTACCTGTAAACAGTAATATGGAAAATATTATTGGTAGCGTAATATATTCAAGAGCAGGTTCATATTCGTAGGTATCAGTTAGGAAGCACAACGGAGTGCATATAGTTTAGAAACATTTAAACCAAATAGTAAAATGAGTTGAAATTGTCAGTTTCATCGAACATCGGATGCCAGGACGACAGTTATGATACAATAGATGAATTTCTTGTTAAAACATACATATAATATTAGTTTTCATGATTACATGTAATGTGTCTGAAAACAAATAAACCTTTTTCTTTGCATTGTCTAAGTAATGCAGACAGAATCATCCGCCCAATATCTTTGGAGGTTTAGGGCGCTTCAGTTTTTTCTTTAAAAGAGTTTTGCCTGCCAGTAATGTTTTCCCTACTGCGAGAATATGCTTGGGGTCAAAATAAATTGCCTATATGTTAAAGTAAAACAATATCTGTTTCGTATTATGATTTTATTGTTGGTTGAAATAGTAATAGTATTACAATTTTGTCTAAACTGAATAATATGGACATTGCAACATGAACATAATATCACTATGGCATATTTATGCAGAAAACATAAAAAACTTTACTGCCTCAGAAATAAATATTCAAGATTTATCTTTAACAATTATCGAAAATTCGATCTGATAATTAGTTTAATTGAAGAAAAATTATTTTTTAAGACGCTTGCAGGAGAGTGGAGGTGATTTGAAGCGTGTAGAGGGCAAAGTCAGGCCACAACACTTCTAACACACCTGGTACGGTCAGGGTAGAGCGTGTAGAGGGTAAAGTCAGACCACAACACCTCTAACCCACCTGGTACGGTCAGGGTAGAGCGTGTAGAGGGTAAAGTCAGTCCACAACACCTCTAACACACCTGTTACGGTCAGGGTAGAGCGTGTAGAGGGTAAAGTCAGCCCACAACACCTCTAACACACCTGTTACGGTCAGGGTAGAGCGTGTAGAGGGTAAAGGTAGACCACAACACCTCTAACCCACCTGGTACGGTCAGGGTAGAGCGTGTAGAGGGTAAAGTAGACCACAGCACCTCTAACCCACCTGTTACGGTCAGGGGAGAGCGTGTAGAGGGTAAAGTCAGGCCACAACACCTCTAACACACCTGGTACGGTCAGGGTATAGCGTGTAGAGGGTAAAGGTAGGCCACAGCACCTCTAACCCACCTGTTACGGTCAGGGTAGAGCGTGTAGAGGGTAAAGTCAGACCACAGCTCCTCTAACACACCTGGTACGGTCAGGGTAGAGCGTGTAGAGGATAAAGGTAGACCACAGCACCTCTAACACACCTGTTACGGTCAGGGTATAGCGTGTAGAGGGTAAAGGTAGACCACAACACCTCTAACACACCTGTTACGGTCAGGGTAGAGCGTGTAGAGGGTAAAGGTAGACCACAACACCTCTAACACACCTGTTACGGTCAGGGTAGAGCGTGTAGAGGGTAAAATCAGGCCGCGGTGCAACGTTTCTTGCCACGCAGGTTACATTCACTTGAGTGGCCGACGTTCGCCAGTAGTGCACGCGTACGGATGACGATGGCACTGAAACGTAACCAAAAATTTTTTTCATTCATTTTGCAGAAATATTAATAGGTGTTTCAACACTGGTTCATGGTAATTGGTCAACGATCTCTACAAAAGTCAATATATTCTAATTTGAAGTCGTATTCCGCGGGGCTCTATTGTCCATTATTCTTCTAATATATTAATGCTAATGTTAATGTATTAATGTCTAATGTATTAATGTTTCTTCCATGCTCCGACAAACCACTTTTAATATATTTCTTTAACTCGACAGCCTAATTAGCTCAAAATGCATCCTATGATTAAACAAAATTAATAACGTGCGCAGCAAGCTCAATCAACGTCTGATAATCAGCAGTGAATCGTCGACTAAAAGCTCTGTGAATTATCGCTTTAATTATAAACGTTAAAAGTTTACCAAATTCCGTGAAGTTTTTGATGAAGAATTTATGATGGAGCTGCGTGGCGACCAAACGATTTCGCCAGAACTTTTTACTCGACTGAGCCTAATTTTTGGAGGGACCTTAATAATTAAGAACGAGCTAATGTCATCAGAGCGTCAATGCGTGGCTGGGTATCTTCATAATGGATATCACGCGACATAAAACGGAAGGCACTTCGGTAAATGTCAACGTTTTGTTCTGAGTTTGTCGTTGTGTCAGGGTGCGCTATAGTACTATAGTATTATTGATTCAAGAGGCTCAATTACAAGAGCGCTTTCTCTACAATGCGAAGCATTAGTTCATATTTCCTAATACCAATTAACATATTATCATACTCTTTTATCCTAAGAGAAACCACTTTTCATATATTTCTTTAACTCGAAACCCTAATTAGCTCAAAATGCATCCTATGATTAAATAAATAAATGTTTTGTTCTGAGTTTGTCGTTGTGTCAGAGTGCAGGAGAATATGAGTTTGATAATGAATCCATTCTGACTGACTCGAAAATATGAAAATAATTTGCCTCCGACAGTAATTATGACTTGATTCAAACTGAGAAAATGTTACAATAACTCGATCTGGACTGTAATAATGTGAAATTCAATGGGGATTTTAATGCAATAATGTAATAAAGACTTGATTACTACTCTGAAAATGTTATAATACTTTATTCTGACCATGGAAATGTGATATTGATTGACTTTGATTTTTAGTAATGTGATGGTAACTTGATTCTGACCGTAAAAATGTGGTGTTGACTTTTTTTATAGCTGTTACGTTGTGGATTTAAATTGTTGTTAAATTATTTAATTTTTCTGTATATGAGCGAGTTGGACGTGGCCTTAGCCGAACTTGCCAAGCTATATCAGTATTGCACGTGAGAACATTATATTTTTATTTAACTTTCAAAGTTAAAAATCAAAGGTTAGAAAAATTTTCCCAATTTTTGCCGCACAGCTTGGCTATCGAAATCAATGTAATTCACAGATAAGGAAAACTTTAGAATATTTACCAACTATCTGAACATTAATTGTAGTTCGCATCATTTTTCTTGTTTTATTCAACGAAAAAGGTTCTTTGAACGAGAATTTTTTCACACTTTCATCGAGTCTATGTGTGTGGTGACATTGATGGCACTGGGCCATAAACCTTCCATATTCGTGGGCACTACGAGGTGCCATAAGTGCACGACCAACAATCATGCACTCTTCGACCGACCACCCATCGTATGATTGCTTAGCTTGAATTCAAATCAGTGTACTTAAGACAAATTTAGCTAGCGCCTTGCGACCACTCATATAAGGAAGATATAAATCTTGAACTAAGACTTGCCCACTCAGTCATGCGTATTGATATGCTGAATAACTGGTATCACAACTACCGGGTCAGGCTGGAAAATTCTCCGTTTCTAATCAAATTGAGCCTCGATTAAGAATTATAACGATCATGCGTCAGTTGGTTAACTAGCTAGGCCAACGTGTTGAAATATAAAAATGTGAATGATATTTTTTTCTGACAAAGTCCACCATTGTGGTTTATTTTGTTTTATAAAAAGGTATATTATTTTACGCTCGGAGCAAGGCTATTCGAATATTTTAACATAACAGACCATCAAAACAATCCGACAATTTAATTTCAAAATGAGCTAGACCCAAGTATAGGCAGGGCAGATATGTAGTTCACTTGTGTGAACTACGAAGAGATCTTTGGTGCTAACTCTCATCTTTTCAACTACAGTTGTGATCGTCAAATTTAAATGAGAATTGTTAATATTGTACCTTTCTTTCAATTATTGCTCTACACGTCATTATAATGCTATTTCTTTAAGTACAATATATAACACCAAGAAATCATAACTTAATAATAACTTACAATAACACTATAAAAAATAACTTCAAGTACAATAACTTGATTTGGGTGCTTGCGTGTTCTTTAAGCACCCAATTTGAGTCAAGAAATCGGTTTCAAATCACGCAAGGCAATTATATAGCCATTCTGTTATTGTCACATTATAGATTATTTTTGAACATTATGACTAAAATTTGTTCAATTAAAATTAAATTTACCATTTCCTTACTATAAATTAATCAAGTAATGCAAATGGTTATAGATATTTAGTTATCAGCTAGATTACTATATATCTAGATTACTATATATCTAGATTACTATATATCTAGATTACTATATATCTTTATTTTCTCAATTAATAGTCACACGAAGAGTGTTTCTCAATTGTGAATGATACTCGCCAGCGAGGCATGAATAAAAAAATCGTGTCATGGTCGCAAATGATTTTCATTGCAATTACACGCCTTAATTAAGATTAACGAAGAAAGCGCTGCGGCGCCTACTCAGTGGCCTTGTGTAAAACCATTGCATGATTCTTAATAAGCCAAGATTGCTAACACGCCTGAGAATATCTGATTAAACTCGAAGCAATCTAAGAAACTTTTCGTCTTAAGAATTATGACCGGACTTTTTTTAGTGCTTACTAGAATAATAACAATCAATCATATTCGCTGAACTTTTTGTTCATAAGTTCCCGAAAGTTGATTATTTGTTCATGGTAATAATTTTCAAAAAGTGTTTGAGACAAAATTAGGGCAATTTTGGGGGGAATTTGAAATCTGTGGAGAAATAATTGTCTTGAATGAGTTTTTTTATGAAGATTATGAACGACAATACGGCAAGGTCTAGTAATGCATTACATTTCGTTGACGGATTGACTTCTAAGCCACAATCGTCGACCACGAGACGCTCTTTGGCGTGCATTTTTCATGTAAAATGAGCCTTAAATGTCATTAGAGCTTCCATTTATACGTGAGTGCTACTGCAAAGGCCGAGCAATGTAGGTTATAAAGAGCTCAATCGAAGGCTTATTGATGCCAGACAGATAATGTGAATAATCGAATGATTGAGGAAGCCTGAGGAGCGCAGCACCTTTACAAATGTCGACTTAAATTTTTTGGAATGCAAGCCTGGTAGAGTGCGTTACAGTTCAAACCCGCTGCGGCCATGAATTTTGATTAAATATATGAGTGATTTTATTACAATTCGCTGAAAAATTTCCTAAATGCGGATCACAGAATGAACTTTAATTAAAAAAATCCTTTTTCTTTTAACTTAGAAGTATTAACGAGTAGAGGGGAGGTAAATGAGCATAAAGAGTAAACAAAAATCGAATTATATGTATTATTATGGGTGGGAACAAATGTTCCTTATTTATTCATAAGGAATAATTTTAAAAACATCTGCATTTATTTCTACGCACGTGAGTGGGTGTTCGGAAATCATTTACAAGCGGTTACAAGAAAAACCATAATGAGGGCCTGTCGCCAAGACAACATTGCTCTATGTAAATAATATCCTCATGCTCATACAATTATAATATAAATTACCCTTATTTGATTTGTAATTATTTTCAGCGGAATTTGGTTCCGAGGCTGCGAAGCACTTTAACTAAATCAGCATGTTTAGTTAAATCCCAAATTATTTTTATGTTGCCAAGAAACTTAATGATATTCTGCAAGTACGGAAATTCTACCCCAGAAAAGAAGTTCTGTACAATTTACCCCAGACAAGAAAAGGCGCTGTAATATTTAGCACAGTCAAGAAAAGGCGCTGTACTATTTACCCGAGACAAATAAAAAGTTGCTCCAATATTTATCCCAGACAAGTAGAGGTGCTCCAATATTTTCCCCAAACAAGTTGCGGTGCTCCAGGAATATTTACCCCAGACAAGTAGAGGCGCTGTAATATTTACCCCAGACAAGTAGAGGCGCTGTAATATTTACCCCAGACAAGTAGAGGCGCTGTAATATTTACCCCAGACAAGTAGAGGCGCTGTAATATTTACCCCAGACAAGTAGAGGCGCTGTAATATTTACCCCAGACAAGAAGCTGTGCTCTAATATTTACGCCAGATAAGTAGAGGCGCTGTAATAATTTCCCCAGACAAGAAGAGGCACTCATATTTACCCCAGACAAGTAGAGGCGCTGTAATATTTACCCCAGACAAGAAGAGGCACTCATATTTACCCCAGACTAGTAGAGGCGCTGTGCTGGTGTCCTCGTCCTCATAAGTGCTGACGGTGCAGGAATAATCACCGGACAAGGTCGGGTCTAACTTCGTTATTCTGATGGCCCTGTACTCGGCCCACCACTCTCGCGCGGCCTTGTAGCTGGTGTCCACCCTGTCACTGAGCAGACCCAGCGCCTGGGGCTTCTGGGGGGGTATCCACTGGTAGACCAGGTGGACCATGTCAACGTACCTGAGAATGGTTGCCATTATATTAAAATCTGAGGATAAATGTGTCCACCCTGTCACTGAGCAGACCCAGCGCCTGGGGCTTTTGGGGGGTTATCCACTGGTAGACCAGGTGAACCATGTCAACGTACCTGAGAATGGTTGCCATTATATTAAAATATGAGGATAAAATAGAAAAAATATAAAATGAAGTAAATATCATAATTTCAGTCAGATGGGAAACGTGGGTCAATATTCTTACAAATATTCTTAATAACACGTAACCGCGTAGAGACTACAAACATTATTACCTATACAGTCTCATTTCAACAACGTAACCACATATCTACTTGTTTAAATTAAGTGAAAAGGCAAGAGTCGGCAAGATAGAAATTAAAACATGTAAATTTAAAATTAAAGTTTTATTATTGGTTAGTAAATAGTTTAACTGAGCTGATCTCTAAATAAGGTAAATGGTTTCTGATCAATAGGCCGAATGCATATTTACTATAGGCTCAATGCTACTAAGCACTCAAATATAGAAAGCTTCTTTGTTAATAATTTTTTAATAAACAAGAAAGATGCTTAAGTTTGAATTACTATAATGCAGTAAGGAACAGTTGATTACTTAATTATTAATAGTGTTAGCTATGTGTCAGCATGTCGTTTCACAGGCGTGGTTATTAAGAAAGTAGCAGTAAAAAATATTTTGAAATGAATGATGAAAATTATAAGTCAGCTTGTCATATCACTCGCGCTCTAATTCAAAATGTGGCAGCGTTAATTATTTTATCATAAGTCTTAAAATACGTTGGAGCTCATCATACAACATTGAACGTCGGTTGCTGGCGCAAAACCAGTCTGCAAAGTCATTATTCTCGCGCCCTTCCGGCTGACTTCACCGTCCTTCAAAATGTCCGATTTTTGCGCGGAAAATATTTTCAGCCTGCTGGGACTTCATTCGTTTGCGTGATCCCACAAATCCTTCTAAGAGGAAAACAAAATCTCGAACTCTTTGGCTTGTTATTGTTCGATGAAAACAAGGAACTATTGTTCCCAGCTGGAATACGTTAGTAAAAATAAGAATGCATTGAGCGCGGAACCGACGCAAAATTTCGTATTTGTGGTTAAAAAGACCTATAGTGCTGGAGATGAGCTTTAGTCTAACAGAAAAATGAACATAGAGCATTCATGAGATTCATTTGTTTTTACTTGGAGCTCTCTAGCCCAAAAGTTTTTATTAAAGTGCTCCCTGAATGCTAGGCTTTATTGAGAGGACAACAGCTTCTAAAAACAAGCCAAAAACAACTACTGATTTTGCAGAAAAAAATTCAAAGACTCTCAATTATGTATTTAACTAATCAGAGCGTAATTACAACTGTCTTTCGTTGCATCGAAAAATAAATACATATAAACAGTGGTTGATTCGGCTTGCTTTATCTTCAATCTAATCTAAACTCTACTGGAAGTTTACAGCTTTTGCGACATGGAAGCTTCGTAGTTTTTATACTGGTAAATTCTGAGTCTGAACATTTTTGATTATGCATGAATGCGAAATCATTTTGATAAACTATCCGAATGAATTATGAGACTGACATCGAACTGGACATCTTATTAGGTGGAGGTCGTTTAACCCGCGGCAGTAGTTCAGGAGCCCAAAGACATTTTCAAAGATCAAAATGAGATGTCTTTTTATCGAAATGTGATAAAATTCGTATATATTGAAATTGGTATTGAAAATTGATGATGAAAAAAAATTTCATCATAAAAATATTATGATGAAATTGGTATTGAAATGAAGAAAATTCGAATCAAAATGAGATTAAATTCGTGTTAAAATGAGATGCCTTCGGTAACAAAACCCGTTCATATTCTCAATAATTTTGTTTTAATACCGATTTGCGAATTGCGTTCTGTAGATCACGTAGGCTCATTGTTCAAAGCGGGAAAAGTGAGATTATTCTCTACTCCATATTGAGTTCCAGGACAATTTTCTGCATGAAAACACGAGGAATTTGAAAGTGAAAATATGTTGTTGAGATCTGTATGAAGACGCACGACAATTTCTTTGAAGGTTACTCAGGTCAAAATCATTAAATTTGTTGAACGTGAATGATTTCCATATAAATATGAAAACTTTTAGTAGATATCTATATCTACAAAAAAATGCAGCCTGAGATTAATGAGAGATTGAGATTAAATTTGTGTTAAAACGAAATGCCTTCGGTACCAAAACACGTTCATATTCTCAATGATATTGTTTTAATACCGATTTGCGAATTGCGTTCTGTAGATCACGTAGGCTCATTGAAAAGTGAGTAATTCTCTACTCCATTGAGTTCCAGGACAATTTTTTGCATGAAAACACGAGGAATTTGAAAGTGAAAATATGCTTTTGAGATATGTATGAAGACGCACGACAATTTCTTTGAAGGTTACTGAGGCCAAAGTCATTAAATTTGTTGAACCTGAATGATTTCCATATAAATACGAAAACTTTTAGTAGATATCTACATAAAAATGCAGCCAGTTTCAGCTAATAAACATGAGGGTCTCAGCATTTCTAAGCCTTCTCCTTTGTAGCTCTGAATAAGGATAATTTTTTTCATGATCGACTTCTCTGGAAGAACCGCGGCTTCAAGTTGTGGCAAAAATTTCGAGGTTTTGAATTATACCCGAGACCTCGGAGCGTCTCGACCCAGCGGAAGATTTATACTGACTTGTGAAAAACGTCGTCATACGAATTTATTGGCAATAACTGTAGTGGTCATTGGACTGTGAACGATGGAGTTCTTTGCTGCCCGCTCGTAGACCGAGACTTCCCGGATTATTTCGACCTGTAGCTCAAAAGATGAGATGATTATTTTGAACGAAAATACTAAAATAAAAACAGTTTGGTAGCTCGTTTGGACACCGTAAGAAGCAAAATACCCCTGAGGATACATCTGAAACGAAATGAGACAAATAACTTTTATTTGACTTGTTTGCCGTCAAAAAGAACAAGTCTTCGGAGAACTTTTCCTAACTCTCAAACATCTTTTAAAAACTTCAACAGTTCCATTAGACTTATAAAAAAAGAGCTCAAAGAGAACATTAACTTTCGTTTGCATCGGAGACAAACTCAATCATCGCTTTAAAACAAACCGGCAGAATACAGAGTAAAAATTGACCATAAATGGCTTCGTTGACACAATATGCATCAAATTGTATCACCTGAGAAAAAGTAATTCATTTGTTGAACAATAATTTTTTCATCTTAATTAAAAATTACTAAACATATCGTTCGTCATAAAATAAATGAATCCGCGGCCCCGAATGATTTATCTTTAAATTTAAACCAAACGATCCGAAAATCTATCGTTTCTGTTCCGCAATTTACCGTTAGATGGAACCAAGAAAAATCGAATTGGAAAAACAAATAAGGTTTTGCTTCCTTTGAAATATCTAAATACTTTCATGTAATAGTTCAAAATGTTTATGGTCATACCTAAATGAGAAAATTCAATTTCTTCACTTTCAAAAGTCAAGGTAAAACATTTGAAAGACTTAATAGTGGAGTCAGCCCATAGAAATTAATTTTTTTTAATGAAAAACAAAGATTTCCTATCCGAGAGTAATTTTATTCCCAGTTAGTGGAAAATATAATACCTAATGGGCGCTGAGAACGTTATAGCATTTCGTTTGAACATGAACATCTGCTACAAACGTTGTGTACGAAAGGCATAAATTTTTAAAGGTTCCTAGTGAAATATGTTCTAAGTAACTTTTCTTTTCGCTTAAATAAAGAATGGTTCCAGAAACATTCTGAGCGAAAGAAATATTTTAAAGTTTCCTAGAGAAGGCACTGAGTGCTTATATAATATCATTCAAACAGTGAAAGGTGCGGGAAAACTTTATGTATGAAAGGAATCTATTTTTAAAGGTTCATGGAGGAGGCGCTGAGTAACTTTATCATTTCATTTAAGCAATGAAAGGTGCGGGAAAAGCTTCTTATAATCTCTGACGCACCACGTCTCTGTAGCTGCTGGTATTCCTGATAAAAATCTTAGATTTAAGTCTCTGTCGCGCGTCTTATAATCTCTGGCGTACCACGTCTCTGCAGCTGCTGGTATTCCTGATAAAAATCTTAGATTTAAGTCTCTGTCGCGCGTCTAATAATTTATTTTACACCAAGTCTTGGCAGCTGAGCGTCTTTAAGGGCACCAGGTCAATAATATATATAGTTTCGTACATACATTGAACATGAAACATTCACAATCTACACACAATATATTTTTGACCAAGTGCACTAATTTTCCTTCACTATTTTCTATAGCGCAGAAAACGTTCATATATGAAGCTGTTCATCTCCTAGCGGAGGTACATTGTCTGCATTATTTTATAATATTTCTTAACTCTACAATATCGTGGCAGCTGCACGACGAGGTGCTGTTTTTCATTATTTTAATATATTTTTCACTCAGACACTTCCATAAAATAGTGCTCACCACACGACGACCAAACGCAGTCTACCATTAATAGTACTACCATAATACTACCATAGTACTACCATAGTACTACCATAATACTGCCATAGTACTACCATAACACTGCTATAGTGTTACCATAGTACTACAATAGTACAACCTATAGTACTTCAATAAATAACACTACCATAACACTACCACAGAAGCACTCACCACTTGACCACGAGCCCCAGTCGCTGCTGGTCTGGCACGGTGTAGACGCAGTCCATGGTCACCGAGGACGTGTTGGCGAGCACAGTTCTGGGCACCGACAGTCTGGTGATGGTCACACCACCCACTCCTCCTGTTGTTAAATTAAAATCTTTGAAATTTAATCTGTTATACTACATACATATATTTAAATAAGATTATTACTGAAATTATATTACTATTTTAGCTTCAATTCTGGGATTGCCCATTCCTTCATTTGTTTAGTAAGCCTCATATATGTGGAGTCAAGGTATTATTGACAGTAATATGTGATTCAGTCAACTTTTGCCTACTAAGGGTAATCCTAATTACCAGGACGCTAGGTAGGTTGGTATTGACGACAGCTCATGTCGTCACGTGCGAGTATTATAAAATAATTACAATTATTTGATAACCTATAAATCACACAAACTATTAATAAAATAATAACATTGATTGATGTTATGGCGTCATGGTTGGCTCGTTATAATTTTCTCGCAACAAACTGTAGCAATAAAGTATCACACTTGAAATATTGGGCTAATATAGTATGTGCGTCAAATGGAAAGCTTGAGTGTAATAAGTTCACAAGCGCACATAAAATTTTCTCATCTTCTTGATGTTGAACATCAACAAATTTTTCTGAATTTTTCTAACATTAATTTCTAGTTTCAAATTATTTATGAAGACATTTCATTAATTCACAATTCATTCAATAATTCATTTGCCTCTCGTCATTCAGCTATTGCAGCTTAACGACCATTAATGGGGGCAAAGTCTTTAAATTAGTCATGGATTTCTGTCGGTGATTATTCCAACGATTATAAATACCAACTAATATAATTATAACGTGCCTTCAATTCCATATGAAAGAATGTGTAGCCAATGAATTATTTTGCTAAAAAGTAAAGCCCGGAAAAATTCATCTATATTGTATTCGCCTAGGGTTGCGATCAAGACATAATATTTTTCCTCTCTCTTCAGCCATGCGAAGATCAACCATGCAGCGGACAATAAAAAATATCCCAACGTAAAATTCAGCTTAAGAAATATATATGTAAATGAATAGCTCTCAATAATTTATGATATTTCAATGAGGAAAGTAGCGCGCGATTCAAGTATAAATTGAAGATATAAAATATTCTGATATGAATCATGAAAGCGAAATGACGTGCAGTGTAGTGAAGTTTGAATGATTTATTGAATAATTCCGGCAAGGGTCATTCGTGCCATTGAATAATTCAGTTAAGATTCATTAAGCATTTCTCGAATTTTTCTTTCTCGTTTTTTAGAATATGGAAGCAAATGCAAACGATAATTTTCTAAACGATGAATATTAATTCATCAATCTTGAGCAGTAATTCATGAATGCGCAAGGGAACGTACACTGCGAATGTGTGAATCTCAGGAAAATACGAAAGCGGGGGAAATAATTCACCCAATAAGCAAATAATATCTATGAAGTATATTATAATATATTTTAAAATAATAAATTTAAATGCGTAGGGGCCAAAAATAGGTACATAAAATTTTGTTAATTATATATCATCAGTACAGTGATAATTTCAGCAACCAATTTGTACGTTAATTATCCTTCATATATTCGAGTGCAACCTATTTCTAATAATTTAGACTTTTTTAATGACTCGCATATGGGAATGTTTATTAGCCAATATTTACAGCTCGTGTTTGGTTTTTAAAACTTTATGCTATCAAGCTGATGATTTCAATGATAATGATTGGCAGGCGTTGATGTCGCTGCCGAACGGTCACTGTTAAAGAAAACGTTATTAAAGTAGCATAGATGTCCCGCACGCATATACAGTCTGTAGTCGCATTAAACTTACCCTCTAATTGAGAGAAAGTAGGGATTACGTGACGGTATGGGATTGTTACGTGACTGGCTATATACTGGACACGAACACGGAAATAAGTTTGACGGGATTGGAAGAGAGTGGGTTTCAAAAGTTCTTACCGAAAGCACACCGCAAAGATAAGAAAATTCAGTTAAATTGTATGACACATCGACAAAGCAGAGGATAAAATCCACAATTCAACTTTGAACTTTATCGTAATATAGCTTGCGTTAATAATCGAAATCATTCTTCCTGCACGACAAGCGCGAAGAACTTCAATTTCCAGTGACATATAAATATCCGGCGACGCCTCCACCTGTTCTGTTCCGCAGAGCCGCCTCGGGTCCACTCCGGCCCCGCTACAAGCGACTGACGCAAACCGTCTAACTGATGTTTAAATTACTAACTGAACAAATGAATTTTCCACCCAATTCTCGTGATCGATTTCCAGGTTATGACAAAATTATTTGTCATTTTAGCAATATAACATTAGGTAATAATTTTAGAAATGATTAATAAAGAAAAAGTGATGAAATATTCCTTTAATAAACTTTCGGGTGGGTCTATAGATACTTCGAGCATGAAATTTTAACGTTGTAATATAAACTTTCAAATGCAATCATTTCCCCCTGTTCTTTGTACTGTTTCTTTTTGTCTGACTTGTTTTGTATTATTTTCACGGAGCCAAAATTCACAACTCTTATTTCATAACTGAAATTCAATTCTTACTTTCATACACAAGTATTTCATCAAGTAATATATTTTAGGTCTAGTCATTTATTGCTAATTACTGATCGTTAAAGCTCCTACTAATTTTTTAAAGGGCAATAATTTTGTCTATAAAGTATGCTGGTGACTTTCACTCCTTCGCTAACGTTTTTAGAGTCTCACATTAAAATTTTTTTACGACAGGTTTTAAAGAAATCTTGTCAACAAAAAGTTGTTGTACTGGAGCAGGTGGGGAAACACACGATAAATTTATGTGTAGGTGCCGCGTAATGCATGTTACTGTAAGAAGTAATATAGATCTAACAGAACTGCGTGATGCATGTTACTGTGAGAAGTAATAGATCTAACAGAACTGCGTGATGCATGTTACTGTGAGATGTAAGAGATGTAACAGCACTGCGTGATGCATGTTACTGTGAGATGTAAGAGATGTAACAGTACTGCGTGATGCATGTTACTGTGAGATGTAAGAGATGTAATAGGAAGTCATAATCGTAAAAGGGTTTGTATAGTTAATGACTTTAGAATAATTTTTAATTCTTCAAATGATTTACATACATGACAATAAATGATGACCATACTCGTATGGAAAGAAAATATAACGGCAAAAATAATTATACCAAAAAATTGTCACTGAAATTCCTATATTGATTTTACAAATGGAAAAAAGAAATCATTATATTTTGAAAACTTATTAACGTCATTGTCGTAAAAGATTAGAGTCAAAGAACATATAAGCTTCCTTTGTATAATAGCTGTATATATAAATATATTGGCCCAAATAGCCGCTGCAAATTCAAAGTGGATTATTTCATTCATTATTACAGGGAATGTGGAGGAATCTAGCAAAAAGTGAATATTTTTGTGCGGAAGACACATTTGGCAACATTTTTGTCAAGCTATTTCATTTTCGAAGATTCAAAGCGTGATCGATTCAATCGTGATTTTTGTTTATCTTTTTATAATTTTACGTCTCGTGGGCAATATTTTTACTAATTTCGTCTTGTCATTAAAATTTTGATTTTCCATCAAACCCTGAGATGTTGGGTTTCTTTAAACCTACCAAATCAAGGATTGTCTTCCCAAGCAAATTCCTGCAATTTTTATTCGTGTTTAGCATCCATCTCGTCAAAAAAATCTTGAATTTCTGTAACACACAATAAACCATTCGTCGATTTTCTTCTTCATTCAGTGAATATATATGATTGCTACTAATGTCAAATCTCCTTTCAGTTCAGAGGGGCGACTTTTAATGTCTTGAACAAACAGAGCTTGAAGAGAAAATTATTTAAATGTTTGCACATTTTTACCATCCGTTATGCAAAATTATTATGAAATTTCTGTACTATTAGTCAATTTTTAATGTCATTCGCCGAATAATTCGCATTTAAAGTCTGCGTTTAATTTGAGTGCAGCCCGTGGCCCTGGATTAGAGCGGCGGCACCTAATGTCTTGAACAAACAGAGCTTGAAGAGAAAATTATTTAAAATTTTGCACGCATTTTTACCGTCCATTTTGCCAAAGTATTATGAAATTTCTGTACTATTCGTCATTTTTTAATATAATTCACAATATAATTAACAATTGAATCTTGGGTTTAATTTGAGTGCAGAGCGTGGTCCTGGGTTAGAGCAGCGGCACCTAATATCTTGAACAAACAGAACCGTCGATAAGTCTGCTATTTCAGAGGGAGTTTCTAACCATTAATGTGACCAGAGCGGACGCTTCAAATGAAGCTTTGTTTCACGCCTGAAGAATGGCGCCAAATTATTGACATTTCTTGCAATAAAAGTAAATAAAGTTCGCTTCGTTCATGGATCTCGCTTGAACCTTACTTATTTTCATTTTTTGTGGAAAAATAAATGGAAGTATTTAATTTTGGTACGAAAATACTTCTTTGTAAGGTTTTTATAATGAAAGTGAAGGTTATGCTTTAATTGAATGGAAACGTTGGATTGCGAAAACTGTTAGTTGATATTTTCATGAAGCAAGACATCGTTAAATGCTGGATGTGGTCCTGTATTGAACTACCAGCTATCAATACCCAAAGACTGGTCCATATTGATGGTAAAATTAAGATCAATTAGCTCTTGAGTTTAAAGAACTTTATTTCAGTGCCTATGTTTCATAAATAATGTTTCAGATATAATGTTTGTTGTTATAATGTTTAACTATTATATTTGATATAATAGTTAAATATTTATAATCTGGCGTTAGGTTTTGAGTTTAATTAATTAACATTCAACCCAGGTTTGACTATCTTCTCACATCTGAGGATTAGAGTGACGAGAGTGTGGCGTCAGGCTGGCCGGCGCTGCGTTGCAGCCAATATTGCCCCCAACTCCATTACCATATTTGAACGCGATCACAGCGCCATCTTCTGCCCTGCGGCGCCGTCCGCAATTTGCGTGAGATCTCAACCGTAATTACTTAATCGATACTCCTCCAGTGAAGTCCTTTGCTAAACCGCTGAATTTAAATAACTTTTGAAGTGTGGTGCTTCCACGGTGCTTTTTCGTGCTATATTTAA